CGCCAAAGCGTAGCGAATCCCATCGAACAGCCATGGATGGCATTTTTACAAACAAAGGATATAGCAAAAATGGCCGCCTTCTACCAAAAGTGTCATTAGACCATGTGCCATGCTTATAGTATTCACATACCAAATATGAAAAAATCGCTCCACTACTTTTCAAGTTATAGTAAAATACGTTAAAATGGCGGCCATTTTTCAAAATGGCCAACTTCTACCAAAAGTGCCATTAGACAGTGTGCAGTGCTTATAGTATTCACATACCAAATATAAACAAAATGGCTCCACTACTTTTCGAGTTATAGTGAAATACGTTAAAATGGAACAGCCATGGATAGCATTTTTACAAACAAAGGATATAGCAAAAATGGCAGCCATTTTTCAAAATGGCCGCCTTCTACCAAAAGTGTCATAGGACATACCAAATATGAACAAAATCGCACGGACGCACGGACGGACGGACGGACGGACGGACGGAGGCGTTCCCTATATCCCTCCGAACTTCGTTCGATGGGATAATTATAAACTTGAGCAAGACATACAATTAAAAACAGAAAAAATGAAGAATTAGAGGAAAGTGTAAAATATTTGGAATCAATGATTGAAGATCAAGAATTCAAGAATGTATCATTAATGGAAGAGGAAACTAATACTTGCACTCTAAACTTTAAAGAGACAGTTATGAATCTGACTGATTTAAAAGTACCAACACATTATGTGAGTCAAGTAGTGGAAGATGTTGCAGAGTTATGTAATGTAACCTTAAAAGGACAGATCCCAAAGACCATAGATAGAATTGCAGACAGCAAACTTGCAATATGCTAGCAGCAACTTGAAACTGTTAAGTCAAAGAACACTACTCTGTATTCTGATGAAACTCCGAAACATGGTCTCTGCTTTGAAGTATTCTCACTGACTGATGATGACCAGTGGCCATATGTTCTTGGGTTGAGGGAAATGGGAGACAAGCTGCCTTAACAGTTATAAGAAATATTAGAAGACTTTAACCATGTATGTGGATCTAACTCTGGTAAAGAGAATGATGTTTGCTTTCAGATACTTCCGAATGTTAAAAATACAATGGCTGATAGAGCCTCCATTGAGAAAAAATTCTCTAAGTTATTAGAAAGTCACAGGGTAGAAATATTACCCAAAGTGATCCAAAATTGGAATAATCTCAATGAAGAGCAATTCCTGAGTTTTTGTTTGGCCAGCTAGATAACTTGATGAAATGGAGGCCAAAAATGCCTCAACTCTGATCAATGAATCGTGCATAATGTTTCATCAAAATAAGACTGGGGAGTGGCTCAGGAATTTGGAAAAATGAAAAGGAAAAATTAGTAAAGGAAAAATAAAGTCAACAAAACAAGGAAGAACCATAAGGAAACAGTTTTTAAATCATCTAGATATTATTAAATCAAGAAGAATTGAGGCCCAAAAAAGCAAATAGAAAAGGAGGAGAAATTGACCCAACAATAGTGGTCGGAAGACTTACTCGTGTACTCGAGTTTTACTCGCATTTGTCCTAAAAATCAATTGATCGAGTTGAAAACTTGAACTCACGATTTGAAATTTTTACTAAAAAAATATTTTTCACTCGTTTTTACCTTACCTTGACTCGCGATCCGTCTCTCCTATTTGCAATTTCCATGATTATAGTTGTAATGTTCTGTTTAATATGTATAGAATACAACTTATTTTCTATTTAATGCCATGTGCGGAAGACAAACATACTTGGATTTTATTCTGCATTCGTTATTTTTATGCAAAAGTTTCATTTCCGGTTTGATGCATTCTGGGAATATCCAACAGCCGGGAATTTTAAAATGCCTAAAATATTAATAGACTACCCAAAGAAAACTACATCTGATGTCTGGGTGCACTTCGGTGTACACAAAGATGAATCAGGCATGATTGATTTGTCAACTATCATATGTAAACTGTGTGAGAAGACATGCAAAAACTTCAATAATACCACAAATCTATCTCTACACTTGAAATCCGCACATCCAGATGTTTGTCTACCGCAGTGCATCCTGGAACTTTCTGGATTGATGAAGTTAATAACAATAAAAGTATAGAGGCACTTGAAAGACTTGATCAAATTGATGAATTCTGCCGCTACTTTGGAAACTGAAACCGGAAGTAACTCAACTAAGTCAAATCGCGATATAATCGTGGTTTTTCATGGCCCACTTGAGTGGAGATATTCAGGCGAGTCCGACCACTACCCAACAAATATGTGATTTTGGTCTTTTGCAGAAGTCCAAAGATACATTATGAAAGCTATATTACCACATCTCTCAAATAAAGACAAGTTGCATGAGTTGCTGGCCCTCAAGGCACAACTTAACTTCAGAAAGATTGTTCTGAAACAGAAAAGTGACTGTTATTAACTACATTCAACTTGACTTACAAAGTAGGAAGCAACTATGTACCTTACACTATACCAGAGCTTGAAAAAACGTATAACCTTATTCTCAGAATCAAGCATAAAAGAAGGAATACCAGAAGGAATACCAGAAGGAATACCAGATGAAGAACGAAGATCAATAGTTGGGAAGTTGATATTCCATGATTTTGTGGAGAAAGGAAAACCTGTGAACTACAGGGGAAGGATTATTAGTGGTGTACCTGGATTTAGAAGGTGGTTCAATGTGAAGTACACAAATGAAGGCAAACTGTATGTCTATGATATGTACAAGAACTACAGAATGGTGATGCCAAGATAATAGAGAGTAAACATACATGCAAGTTAAGCTGTTATACCTAAGATACTTTATGAGATTTATGAGGACCAATCAATTATGAAGAACCGATCGAGTTATGAAGAATCAATAGAGTTATGAAGAACCAATCGAGTTTGTTGCGTGGACAATAAAGTTTTTAAGAACCAATTAAGTTTTTGCATGGACAGTGATTAATTAAATTAATACTTATTTTTTACATGTCTGTTAATTGTTTATTGGTCACATGTTATTCATTTTTACTTTTACATTGAAGGTTTTTACATGAAGACATAGTGGGAAGTGCACACTTAAAATCCCCAATATAACCTTTACTGACATATCTCTTAAACCAAGATTTCAGAAAAATAATGACATAAACCATGTTGTTGAACAATATGTCCCCTACCAGTGATAAAAATGTGAAAAAGATTTAGTCATAAAAATCAAAACTTCTAACCTGTTTTTCCCGCCATCTATTCAAATTTCTTAGAATTTGGCGTATGAATCTGGTCAAACAGTACATGTGATCAAGTTCAAATATTTTATTACATGCTTATTTTTAACATTTATTTTTATCATAGTACATACCTAACATGTCAACAATTCAACATGCATCACTGCCACATTTTCACTCAAGATGGCGCTGCTACATAGTACTTTCGGGGACTATATTCCCAGTTTTAAATACAGATTTTTTGTCCCCTCCATATAGCGGAGGGATATAACTGTGTACTTAGGCCATACTGATTTATGACCTAAAGTGGTAACAGAGAGTAGAATGTATTACATTGATTTACAATCATCATTTTACTTTCTGAAAACAGAATGAGATGTCTCATTTAGACAATTATGTACAATTTAATTTACCCTCATATTGTCTCTAATCTTTGTTTCCCCTTTAAATTTGCAGTGCATGATCATTTCATCATTCATGGTTATTGTTTTAATTCTAACTTAAGAATAATTTAAACTATTTTTAAACATATATTAAACAAAAACTTAAAAGCAATTTCAAGTTCTAGAGGATCTAGTTCAGAATAGAGATGACTTGATATCTCCGACAAGACGCTCCCAGAACCAAAAGCAATTCATCCATCTTCAAACCAACGCCGTTGAAGAATTAAAATCCATATTTGTTGGTAGATTTGATCATCTGTAATCGGAGTTAGAGCGGTTAATCAACGAGTCAAAAAGGGATAATGGGGCTAAACAGTCGTTCAAAGAGAAAATCAAGCTACATGCGGTTCTATTTGAGAAAAACTCACAAATAAAGTTGATGAAAGAATCATTACAGAATAAGGATGAAGAAAGAGTTAAAAGCTAGAATGCAGGCTATAGAGTCCTAAAATAATGAGGCGCTAATGGGACTCACCAAACGACTAAACAAATGAAATCCGAGATTAAAAATCTACAAATAAAAATAGATGTGAAGAATGAAAAACTGATTACTTTCAAGTATAGTTAGCGTTACACTCAAACGCAAGTTTTATCATTTAATATACTCTACAGGTAACATTCATTAGTATAGAAACCATTTGGCATCATTCCATTTCCTTAGCATTTCATTCACGGTTTCACTCACACTCACTCATAAATACGTTTGCATTCATTCATTTATCAAGTTTATCTGTTGTGCGTCCTGAAGTGCGTCCTCTCGTTATGTTCCGTTCATGTGATGTTCTGTAAGGAGTGATTTACACTTGGCCTTCTATTTGCCACAATGGTACACATACCGAACTTGTAGTATTTACTCATTGTTTCAAGTTCTATATTATTTATTTATCTTATTTATAATATCATTTATACATTATAATGGATACATCATATTTTCTTGGTAATCATGACATTTTTATCTTAGTTACCAATTTATATAAGACTGTACTTTCCTTCTCCTTGCTATCATTTTTGAATCATTTTGTAACCTGTAAAGCAACTTCTTGGAAGTATTGTCCTTTGTTTTATTTATAGTTTTTGTGGGACAGACTTACAATGTAAAGTCGTTTTCATAGCCACTAATAACAACGTCCACATGGTGTGGTGTGATGTTCGTCATCCAAAAGTACAATTGTGTGATGTCTATCGTTATCTAAGTGTGACCTATGATGTTCAAATGTAAATTTCATACAAAAAATATACCCAAAAATAATTTATCCCCTCGTCACTCCTGCACAGTAAATTAAAAATTGTAGACTAGAAAATCGAGATCGACCTTTACCAATTCCACGTAGCCTAAAATGTTTCCAACTTATGTCGGCAATTACTACTATTTAGCTACATACTAACATGTTACAATTTGACAACATGAGGAAACAAGAAATAAATAACATGAAATTTGTACTGTCAACACATATAGACATGTTATGATTTTTAACATATTTTATTGGTTGCCATGGCAATGAATATCTATTATGGGTTTTCTAACATTTCTTACATAGTGTATCTTGAGAAGTCATACAGTCAGATTGACTTTAAAATCATACAGTGACCACCTATATGCATGTAATAAACACGTTCAGAGTTTAGGCAATATTGGTTACCATGGCAACCAATTAAAGGACTTACACTTACATAGCTCTCTAATAATGTGTGCAACCAGGTGGTGACATTTTGCCATGTTAATGCCTTGTTTGAAATACAATATACTGCTTAACCTGATCTTATGTTTATCATCTATAATTTCAGGTATCCCAGGAATTGTAGGGGCTATTGATGGGACTCACGTTAAAATTGAGGAACAGACAGAAAATGTACAACCTTATATTAATCGCAAAGGATTCTCAAGCGTAAATACCCAAATCGTTTGTGACCATAATATGGAAATCATTGACATCAACGCTGGCACACCAGGATCAGCACATGATGCTTTCATGTTCAGACAGTCTCCACTCTGCACACCTTGTGAACATATTACCTCCTGAGCATTTCCTTATCGGGGATGCAGCATACCCACTATCGCTACAACTTATGACCCCATTTAGAAACACTGGTAACCTGACTGACCAACAAATACGGTACAACCATTACCAGAGCTCTACCAGAATGGTTATCGAGCGATGCAATGGCCAGCTGAAAGGACGATTCAGAAAGATCAGAAATATGGAGATGGACTTGGTCTGAGTGCCAGAGGACATTGTAATATGTGCATGTTTGCACAATGTGTGTATTAGGTGTGGAGACCTGCTCCCCCCACATGAAGCAGCATTGGATAATGAGGTGGCTGGAGGTCCACCAGCCCCACAAGCAAACAATGATGCCATTCAAGTTGCCTTTAGGCAGAGACTTGTGGACAATTTGTAACATTAAAGGTAGAGTCAGACATATAGGGGGTGAAAGAATTGCAAGCTACATATATGATTGACCTACCACTGTATTCTTCACCATCTCAAATATATTCTCTCCCAAAAGAACCATGATATCTCATCAAATGGTGAAGTTATTTAAGATTCAAAGTGCAAAAAAGTGTAAATTCTCCCAAATAATAAATGTAGATATCCACATTTATAGAATAATTAACACATAAACGTAAAAATCTTTAGTTTTCAAGGAACGAAGTATGAACTTAGTGAATTTTTAGAAAATAGGTGTGACAATAATTCAAAATATATATGTATATTGTGTGATTTACGAGTACACCTGATTTATGACGAAGAATTCAAGAAATATTTACCACGATTTTTCTCCCTCCATTTCTAAGTATTGACCCGGAAGTTCATGAGTCAAAGGTCACCCAAATATCGGCCCTCGATAATGTGTCAGTAATTTGTCGTGTCTTTCCATTGTTATTGAAAAATCCCGCAGGGATAATGGATTTTTAAGTGGAGAATCCGACGGGAACGCGGAGCGTCCCCGCGTCCGAGTCGATAGCTGGAGATGGTGAAACATTATGAAAGATTATGAAAGATTATGTAAGAGTATGCAAGTAATCATTGCTAATAGGTACGCGTACTAGTTTTCGAAGGCTGTCTTAGACATTGGGTGAGAAGGGGTGACAGGATCCAAATCTATACATGTTAATATTGATTTTTCAAAGCCAGTTGTCAAGGTGAATGGCGTGAGTTCTGACGGTGAAGTCACATGGGACGGTGGTGACATTACATCATTTATTCTGGGATTCTTGTCATTTGTGGGCACTGGTTTCACACTGTGTAAGTGTAATACAGTAGAACCTGTATATCTGAACACATGGATCATCCGAACACCTCCAAATCTGAACACTTTCTTTTTTCTCGGTCCGGATTTTTCCTCCCATTGATTACCATGTTAAAAATACTTGAAATGTGAATACTTCTTAATTTGAACAGTGAACAGTCATAGTTGAAAAATTAACTTGTCTGAACACTTTTCATAAAAGGACAGGTGTCATTAAGGGCCCTTTTTAGCCCCAAAAGATATCTGATAATAATGCATATCATATTGAAGAAAAATTATTTGTGCTTTATAAAAATACAATTTCAGCGAATTTTGACCTTTGATGTTCACACAACAGTCATTTAAAGATCATATACCATTTTTGGTGTTTTTACAAAAAATTCTTTATTTATTGTTGTCTAAGTAAATAGTATATAAATATTAACCAATTTAAATATATTAAAATGTAATATATGAAATACTGAAGAAAAGATACAATTAAAATTATTTTCATGGAAAAGCACATAGGGCAATATTGACAAAATGCAAATGCTATTTTGGTAGTTTCTGGGCTAGCAATGGGTACATTTCAACTGTGACTGTAATGGATTACTATTGACTTTTATCAACATCACAGGGCAACATTTAAGCAACTTAAATACAAGGAAAATCAAAGATTTCCTCTCATTTCTAAAACGAGGAACAAAAGCATGAATTCAAGGAAAATAAATGATGGCCTGTGCCAAAATATATAACATATGAGAAAGTTGTGGCACAGTAAAGGATATGTATAGGATATTATATGATTTTAAATGATTTTATCTTTATCTCCGAGTTGATATCAATATCTTGCCAAGTTAAAATAGCGAATTAGCGCAGATATTGATATCAATGAGTTGGATTAACTCAATATCACGAAAATTCATAGGATGTTGTATTTTTCCCATTGTTCACCTCTAAAACTAAACATATCAAAACAACATCCATTCATCCCCGTGATGTCATGAAATCACTATGTAACAAAACACATCATATTGGTGGTAGTTTTCAAATCCCTGCCAAAAGGTGATATCTGTGAAATATTTTCCTTATTCCACAGATATCACTTTTTCCACGTATTTGCAAAATATCACAAATATGTTTTCATGTTACCTAACAGAGCGGAACAGAGTTCAACTATGGGATAAAGAATAAAAAATAGGTACATAATTGAATTACCACTCCAAAAATATTAATAAATATGAGGGTTTAAAGAAAGAATATTGAATATGAGATTCAAAAAGACAAGTGGCCTCATGTCTCACATTACCCAAACCCCAGATCCTCGATGTCATACATACTTGTATACTGTATATCAATGTTATTTACTGGGAGGATTAAATATGGAGTGTATAGCAATGGTCAATACGATATTTCCAGATAGATATTTTTCCCTAGAAGCGGAACCCAATCTCAGTCATGACATAGAAGCTAACTTTTGCAATTAATAGAAACTTGTTTTTTATATATATTTTTTGTGTTCTATATTTGAGATGAAATAATATGAGATTCATTTCTACAAGGATGTAACGAATGTGAACTTGTATATTGAACTATACTCCTTTTCTGAATAAACAGAACAACATTTTATCCAAGCCAATTAAGAAAACCAAGGCCAATGAGTATAATTTATGCCCAGTTAAACTAACACAATAACAACTTTTTGTCTGGACTCACTTATTATGTAAGAATGAATTGTATTACTGTTTACTGCATTAAATGTCAAGTATACTATCTGTATTTAATTTCAAATGCCTATCTCACTTATCGAAGGTATACAAGAAATGTTATTTTGAAACAAATTCAGCACAACCAAAACCATGTCCACATATAGGACAAATCCAAGATGGCTGCCACAATTTTAGATCCATGCAGATGTGAAAAAGTTAGAAATACACATGGTCCACAAGTTCCATCCCCAATAAAATGGGAAGTTTAAGGTTTTCACACATATCAACTCTATTCCTATATACTTTATATTTGTGGTGAGGCTTGTGATCTAGGTAAATTTAGCATGTTCATGTACCTCCTATCCTCTGAAGCTAAAAACAGAAATAGTGACTTCAATTGAGAAAAATGAATCTTATGGGCTCCATATACATTTTGAGTGGCTGTCCGGCTTAAGTTAGATACTACTGATAATCTGAGATTGAAAATTATGTCAAGTTTAGTCCTCGGCCTCTCATAACGGATAACTTCGAGGTAATTGTGTTGTCACTGCAAAAACCTCTATTTCTTCATCACAAATCTACCATATTTTGCATCTGTCAAAACCCTTCGTTTCATGTTAATTTTCAGACTTTTGCTTGTGCCATCATTAAATATATATATTCAACTTGTTATTCAGAATATTTTAAGAACTTTTCATGAATTTTTTTATTTTCACACTTTTGAAAAAATGACTAAGTCAGAGAATGGCCTCTTAATGGCATGTCCCCTTTTACACGATCCATACAAAAAATTGCCCAAATACTTTCATGATATCAAAGCTTTGAGAAAAAACCACGAATGGTCTCAATCATAATGTATGTTTACCTATATAACTAGATTCATTTGAATCAAATTTTCACATTTCTGGAATGTCAGATAGCTATGTGTTGAAAAGAATTATAAATACTAACCGAGAATGTGTTCACAATTCTTCAGAATCCTGAATTTCGCAAATCCAAAACATTAGATAAGTTTTACTGTACATCAAATGGAATAGGTTATCTGTACGAGTACAACATCTATTTTAATAAAAGTTAATTGTATGATATATATAACTTACACTACCCATTAAAAGTTTGGTATCTGATCATTTATACAAAGCAATCAAAGTTTTTAGATATGGTAATGATAGACTAATTAATTATAATTTTAAACTATTTTTTATTAATGATTGTTGTTTTGTATATTTTCAGTCGTCGTATTCGAGCTCAAATTGAGAGTCAATGGAATTGGTTTAAGGTTGCAGGTTGGTGGACAGGTAGCGGCTAGGGATGATAGTGATCAATCTCGAGCATCCAGTTTCCATGATGACATCGGCACGATGGAGGATGGTTTGCAAGATAAACCAGTGTCATCCATTTCGTATATATCAGATTTAAGATTTGATGATGAGGGGGCTGTTACTGTTCGACAAGGTCCTGTGACAATTCTATGATTTCATTGTATACGCATTCTTATAACTCAACCCGGGTTTAATAAAGAATCATAAGAACTACCTCTATATTTTGTTTAACTAATATTGTATTAAATATGTACGTATCGTATGATGTAATAATCAAGTAAATGGATGTTCGAAAATCCAGTCACAAATTGGAAAGTTTTTTAAAAGTAACATGAATTTACTTATAACTGTATAAAGAATCAAATCATAAGTCTGGACTCACTTTAAGTTTTGACATGGACGAGGATGTTAGACGTTATGTTAGACGTTATCTTAGTCGGTTGTATTTCGACCCTACATTTAAGGGTAGCTTTACAGCTCCTTATTAATTTTACAAAAGTATCAAAGAACTTAGAAATGACATAACATTAAAAATGGTAAAGGATTTTTTGAACAGCGTTGAATCTTTCACAATGTATAAACCTGTCAAGAGAAAGTTTAAAAGAAGCTCAGTTCAAACATTAGGTATTGATTATAAATGGGAAGCAGATTTGATTGATTATAGCAAATTAAAACCTGAAAACGATGAATATTCTTACGTATTATTAATGATAAATGTTTTTTCCAAACTTGTACATGCCAGACTTTTAAAAACTAAATCGGCAAAGGAAACATATCAAGGCATCAAAAGCATTTTGGAAGAATTGGGTGAAAGTAGATTACCTACCATTTACGTAACAACTTAGGTCGCGAGTTTGATAACAATATCTTGAAAGCATATTTGAAAGCATACTTGATCCCGGCTTTGGCATTAATGGTTGAGAAATAGGGATCGAAACCAGCCATAGTTTTCTCCTGATGACCATTGTGAATTATTGTGTTTTATGGATTATGGCGACGGCTTTTGTGAATGGATGTTGACCCTTTGAAACGCCTATGGGCTTGGAGACTGGATTTTATCTATCCCACATAATTTGAGACTGAATGCTCTATGTTGTATGAGTATTTGTATCGACAACAATTTTTGAGGGTATGATTATTGGCTATCAATTGGCTATCAATTTCTAATTTTTTCTTCAACATGTATTGT